GCCAACGCTCCAAAAAAAAAAATTAAATGCCACTAAAATGACTCTGAAAAAATTATGTCCTGTCAATCGCCCTTGACCAACGACTCCAATTCCTTCACCGAGTTGAACATTTGCCGAAAATAAGCTGTGCATTTTTAAGATAGAGGTAATGATGGCTGTAGTAACAGAAAAGTGCCGCTAAACTGATTGCATCGTTTATTTGTGGATTGTAGTATATTTTATCAATGCAAATATTTTTTGAACTTTCACAAACATATTCGAATTAACATTTTTTTGTTAAATCTAAAAAATAAATTATTTCACTTGAAGAAAACCTTTTTAAACTTTCATACAGTGCATTGCATTAAGATGTATGACCGACCAAAGTGATATTTTTCTGAACATATGAAACTTATAAAAACAAAATAAATACGAACTCTATACAAATTATTAGAAACGTAAATAAATCCATCGCGCATTTGTCATTTCTTTAATTTTTTAATAAAAAACAATATGACGGTTCTGCTAAAGAAACCGCAACTTTTAAGGAGAAAATTACAAAAAATACAATTCTGGACCGCTGTGTATATGTCTATATATATATATATATATATATATATATATATTTGCATGTGTGTGTTTGCATTTATTGCTTGTATGTGTATAGGTATGCGTTTCATCCATTATTTTTTCCAATTTAATAAATCTTACACGCATGCACTTGGAGAAGGTATAATAATTATGTGTGTGTGTGGGTTCATATTTATTGTGTTGTTCGGTTGTTCTCATTAGTGTTGACTAACCTGGAAAGTACATAAACAGCAACTGCATTGATCAACAACCGCGTGCATTATTTATCCATTTGACCTTTTATCGTTTCTTCATTTATTCATTATTCGTGGAACATTTTGGCATGATTGCTTCATCCTTCAAAATAGTATCGACTGTTTCTTTTTAACTTTCATCTTTACGTTCAAAATAAATATTAAAAACTTTATTAAAAAAAATTTTTTTTTTCTGTTGTATCATAAGTTCTGTCGCATTTCAAATTCATCACGAACGGTCAATAAATCATTCTTGCGACTTCCATTAAATAAATAAAGTATAAAATTCAGCAGAGTCAGTCACACGTTGCTATCAAAACCCATTCATCATCAAAAAATTACCCCAAACATTTTTATCTTAAAATATAAACAGAGGAAACATTTATTATCTGGACGTCACTATGAGCAGCACAGCATCATTGTACAACAACACAACACTGCATGTACGCATGGATTGTAACAAACGTAGAATGTGCACTTAGAAATTGTATGAACATTTCACGGTTGTACTCCAGAAAGTACTGTACGGTCGGTACACGTTCTTATTCACTTCATGCTGTTGTAACACGACACCAGAGAAGATAATTGATTATGCACTATCAGTCAGTCTTACATTACTATTTAACCTTGTCGTTAACTGTTAAATGGTTTGTTATGTTTCTAATGCTTCTTAGTATTGTCTTAAATATCTGATCACTGATCAGATATCGTATGAAGGTGTGAGCAGAAAATAAAAATTTTATTGTTGACTGATTTTTTTAAGGTTAAATTTTATTTTTGTAGTCATTTTTAATATTTTTTAAAAATTTCTGTTACTTTGATTTTTTTTTCTTTAGTTTGAAAACTTCCCCCACAGAAACCTTCCAAACTTCACAATTTGTAGCAAGCTTCTAGAAGCCCCTTTGTGTGACGTTGCACTTAGACTTGTTGCTTGTCAACAACTTTTTTTTAATAATATTTCAACTTGTAAACATTTCTCATGAAAATAATTTTTAAAAATTGGCACTTGTTAGACATCCTTTTAAAAAATTTAAACCTTTCCATTTTTAGTAGTAATACAGTAGAGCTGTGTGCAAGTATTGAAATCCGTTGGCCAATGTATGAAGAAATCTATGGATGTGTGCTAGGTTTTTTATTTTTTATTTCAATTTTTCGTCATCTATTTAAATTTGTATGAACAGTTAATTTTTAATTACGTGAATTTCTTGTTGTTGGAAGCTTATGGTAGGTGATTTCTTTGGGCTGATGGTTCTGTTGCTTTTTGGACAGGATATTAAAATTTGTGAAACTAAACTGGTTCAGTAACTATTTGAAATTGAATACAGCAAAAAATGTAGTTGTTGTTGTAATAGTAGTAGTAGTAATAGTAGTAGTAGTAGTAGTAGTAAAAAAAATTAGTAGTAGTAGTAGTATTAGTAGTGGTAGTACAGTATGTTGTAGACTGGCAAAAAAGCCAGAGCCAGAGTGTGTTGTCAGGCACACAATGACAACAGATTACATTGATTACTGTAATCAAAGCCTGCTTTAAAACTGTGTACTGTGGGTGCTTCCACCAGTTTACTTGGCAATGAATTCCAAAGAGTTATTGATCGATTAAAAAATAATTGTCTCTTTGCCATAGTTTGGTTATCTCTTTACAGTATTTAAAACGGTGTCCCATAACCTGGTTTCGAGTTACATGAAAACTATTTCTCCTGTTCAATTTCTCTACACCATGCATTATTCTGTACAACTGAATCATATCACCTCTCTGTCTTTTTTTGACTAGTGTTGTTAAATCTAGCACCTCAAGACGCTCTTCGTAACCTAGATTTTATCAGCGCGTTGTTGCACTCTGTCGAGCTGTGGTTTTGAAACCAAAAATATTATATTAAAATATAATATAATATTATAAAATATTAAAATTTTGAAGGGTTTATCTTTGTGTTTTTGCTTGGGATAGCTGTGAATGATTTGCTGGAGTTTTTGGATGGAGTACATTGATATCGCAGCTTGTGATGATGAGTTGTTCATAATTTATGAAATTTGCATGTATATACAGTGTTGTGTAACTGTGTACATATGAGTGCGTGCATGTTTGGGTTAATGGGTTTGTGTTTTTTGATTATACTTTTTTTTTGTTTTTTTTTTTTTTTTGTTGAAGAATCATGTTCGTTTTTGTGTTGCCTTAGGCTTTATTTTAGAATTTGTCAATATTTGTTGGTCGTGAATTATTTAAATATTTTAAGTGTTCTTATTATGTAACTCAACAATCGTAAATGATTTTGGTCTTGTTTTCAAACTCTTCGAATCACATTTTGATATTTACTCAGTAATTTTAAATAACAACATCTTTATTTTAAAAAGTCTGATTTTTTGTAGAGATAAAAAATTAAACAATATTTAGTTTTTGTTTTATTATTTTCTCTTATGACATTTTTAAGTGTTTAAAAAAATTAGATTTTGTGATAATTTTGCTCCAATTTATGAACTTTGAAGCAAATTTTATCATTGCGTACATCAAACAAATTTAGACCGTGTCAACCACATTTATAAACATTTCAGTGCAGATGCAATTTATTTGCGTTTTCAACATAACAATTTTGTGAGAAGCACCGCGCGGGATGAGCACAAGCAGGTTTGCAGATAAGCATAACTAGACAAGCGTGTTATCACAAAATCACATAAATAGTTACTCTGGTGTGCACACAAATGTACGAATAATTGATTACAAAAGAAGACCTCGAACGTAAGCATTCGTACGAAGGCAGATGTAGGCAGACAGGCAGTGAGCCATGATTATTGATTTTACTAACAGACCTTCATTGAGCATATTAAATAAAACATCCAAGAACGCCGTGTTCATGCAAACTCCAACAGCTCCCATGGCTGTTATTTGTGATGTCACATCTCAATTATTTAATCGTAATTCATAAATATAAAAATATATTTACATTTACAAATTCTAATGATAACGAAACAAAATAAAACAAATAAAACACTTTGAAAGATTTTTTTACTGAACTTAAAAGAATATAATAACTGTGTAGTAATTTCTCTTTTTAAAATTATTTCAAAACTAATCAGTTCATTTCATATCCTACAAAACGCAATTTCGCAGTGTAGAAAACTATGTCGTTTCGTTTCAAATGTTTCAATTGTTTAGATTTTATAGTTTATTTTATGGCGTATGCGAGGAAATGATGCACGAATTCAAACTAATGCTCTGGTGTGCACGCAGTTCAGTTCCAAAATGTCGACAGTGTTATCGATTAGTTGAACTATCTGACCTATCTGGACAAACCGGTTAATGGGTGTAGTGGCGAATTTAAAGGGGGCTGATGACTATTTCTTTTGTTTGCGTCGTTATTTATTTCGTTATTTCATTATTTTACTATTGTAACCGTAAGACATATAGATGCGTCAACATATCTTTCTAAAAAAACTTCTAGTTTTTGGTTGGATGGTTCAATAGTGGAATGCATCCTCGTTAATTTTCCGTTAATCTCCACTAGATTTTTCACAACTTAAAAAACTATATTATAACGTAAAATATGTTACAACTTCTTAAATATTTTTTTCATTGTCTGCACTTGCCGCTGAATGGGGCGCCGTTTTCTTTTCCGATTCCGTACGAATACCAACACCTGGCCCCGCACACGTCCTCGTTTTATTATTCAGGTTTATTTTATTTCGGCAAATCAGAGATGCATTTTACTTGTTTTACTGATCGTTGGAAGCTACAACACTGGTGCTGGAAATAAGGATCTTTGAAGCTATAAGATAGGTGCTGGTAGTATCGAGCGTCGAAGTGTTACAACGATATTTAAAATATTTGCAAGTGAGTAAATTTGCCAAAACATTATTGGTAATTAATTGAAAATATTATAAAATTAAATTATTTTTTATTCCAATAAATTGGGGCTAGCTTATCTAAATGGACGACTTTCTTTTTTGTCCGTTGTCTTCCACGATCATAAGTCCTGTAGATGACGTTATGTGCCGATTTTTCCAATTCCTTAGAAGTTCACTTTGCATCGCCTTTTTCTACGCCGCAGATTGTACAACCAGACCAGGTCTTTGCTCTTGAAACCTGCGTTATTTCTTTTAAAGTCATGCCAAGTTTTTGTTGTTTTAGTTTCTTGAGCCACAGGTAGCCGTTGTTGGTTTTTCTTAATTTTGTTAGAACTTAAAGCAAGTTTTTTCTTTCTACTAAGTTTACATGGTGTAGAATGACCAGACGGAGGGCTTTGATGCCTGTTGTAAAGTTCGTTGTTGACATTTTTCTTGTCGATCAGTGATGCTGCGATGAAACTCATTAGCAATGAAGCCATCATTGAAATCATTGAGTTGAGAATCAAGCTTTTATTCCGCGAGCGTGCTGGAAGGGTTTTCTCAAAACATGAAACATCATCTGTCCCCACTTTGTGCCGGTTGTCGCTGTTAGAAAGAAAAGCAGGCAAGTTGCCGGCAGCAAGATATGAATGATAATCCCACTGCATATCAAAAGTTTTCTTGTCTTTGCAACTGCTAACTTCTCGAATTTTTTAAAAACCTTCATAGTCGTCTTCGTCATAATCTTTTTCAAAATAAAAAGCATTAGGCAAGTTGCTGGCAGAAATATCCGAGCAATAGTTTCGCTGTATACCAGAAGTTTTAATGTCCTTGTCTTGCCAGCTTCTGAACTATTTTCAAAACTTTCATCGTCGTCTTCAATATCCTCTTCATCATTACGATAGTAGTGAAAAGCATTAGAAATGAAAGCAGGCGAGATGCTGGCAGCAGGATTCGATTAATAGTACCATTGCAAATCAGTTGAGAATTAAGATGTCTTTTTCAAAATCTTCAGTTTCGTCTTTGTCATCATCTTAATTATTACGATAACTACCTTCCTTCGCAGTCGAAATTATCCGAAGGAAGGATGGACTTGCGACCGCTAATGTATTTGTAGGTAGTTGAATAAGCGGATGAGATGTCAGACTTTTGTATAACTGTTTCTTGTATGGCTGTTTTGGTCAAATACATTTGTCGTTCGTTTGGTTAACTGTGTAATTTTGTTTCCGGGCTCTCGATTGACACTTGGACGCGATTTATTTAATTAGGTACTATTTTCTCATTGGCTGCATGTAATTCGGCTATTCTTTAATCGAGTCTTTAATTTTGGCTGTCTTTTCATTGGAATATCTAATCATTTCTGTGCACTGTAATTTTTCGTTGTCGTAGTTCTTTCCTCAGAATAGTTGTATCGAGTTCTTCGAATGCTGGCATTCTTTATTGCAGAAAAATTTCAATCTATCAAAAATCTTACTTCTGACACCAAAGTCCACCATTTCGGCAATTATGACAATATTTTTGATTTTAATTCTTTTCTCAATTTAAAAAAAATGTTATCATATTTTTTACTTTTTCCACAATTAGGTTTAATTTTGTTCCTAATTTATTCAAATCATCCATTTAATGTTAAAGTTTTTTTCATGAATTTCATTGTATTTTTGTCGATTTTTTTTCATAATGATTATTTTAATTAGTTCAACAGTTTTATTATCTCATGTTTCGTTTTATTTCACTCATCTTGTCATATATTTTGACTTTTTTGCAATTTTCATAGGACTTACAAGTTTTACAACTCGTTATATTTTATTTTCTGTCTCTTAACGTCAAATCAATTTTATCTCTATTATCTTTCATAAGTATAAATCGCGTCTTATAAAATTTCTCTGACATTTTTGATTCATAAATTTTATAAATTTGTTTTTCAACTTTTTTGAAGCATATTGCAGATGTTTTCATATTTTTTGAATATTTATAACTCTATCATGTAGTTCTTCCTTTAGAATATATATAAAGTATATGGTTTTAATATTTAGCACAAAAAATTTCTGATGTGTTGGGCATTTTATGTATTCATAATTACAATTTTAATATATGGTGGAATTTTTTTCAAGAGGGAAAAAGTGGGACATTTTGAAATGATCCATCATGTAACCGTACATTCCATTCCAAATGTCATCACATCGCACTAGTCTTCATCAGCATTTAGTCTCCGTCTTTTGAACGTTATAACAATATTTTAACAAGATTTTCTTAATATAGAACGTAAATCTTGAATAAAAACCTTATTCACCAACTATTTTCCTTAATATCAAACTTGCCAGTAGAGTACCATCATTATCACATTCAACAAATACACACACAGCTCATTGATTTTGTAATTGTCCTTCTCATGATCAGCAACCACGCAACGCAACCCACAAATAATAACACAGGTAGATTTCGCATCAATTTCAAACATTTTTTCATAAAAAAAACATTTGCTGTACCATTCATCAAATACTTCACAGCCAGCTTATTTTTTTTCATCCAATAAATTAGTTTTATTATTTCCTACAAGCGCTAATGATTAGGCTCCTGCCTGGTGAACACCAATGTAATAATGAAGATGATGCACACAGCATGAGTTATGAACATTTAATAAATATTGCACGTGAAATTGTTTTATTCACTTCATCATTTTCTGCCGATGTTTACAATACAAATTTTTAAAATATACCAACTGTCTTCTCAATAGTGCTAAATTTCTGTCAACAATGTGGTCTTCTAGTTAGTTTAGATAAGAAAGATAATGTTACTTTGTAGAACAAAGCCTTAGATCTACTAATAATAAATTCAAAGCGATCTCTGACCACCAACGAACTTCCATACAACTGATTGACGAAAGAATTTCGCTACAACCATTCGTAAAGTTAAACAACAACAAGTAGTTGAATAAACTAGCAACACCAGTCAGCGTTTCACATTGAAGCTGAGCACGACGGTCTGTTCATGCCATCCATATCATCGGCCTACCGCGGACCACTCATCATCATGGGCCTGGGAGGGGGCTTCTCCGTCGTCGGGGCAGTCCCGGTTGCCATCACGGTTTCTTTCGGCGTTCGTACATCGGCCACTATTATTGGCATGGGATTTGTGGGATTTGGCTTTCTTCTTATGCTACCAGGCTTGTTCTGGTGTATCGTCGTAAGAACACACAGTTTCAAAATATGTTGCTTCTGCTGTAGAAAGAAGAAGGAGGGAGGAATTAACGGGAAGGGAGATGGTCCAAGGAAAAGGAAGCGAAGAAAAAAATGGGGCGAAGATGAAGATGAGGACGATGATGAATTTGGAGAGCAAGAAGATACGCCAGCATTATGGTTGGAATGCTCTTTCTAAATTAATTTCAATTTTTTTTAATTTTTCATTATTTCATTACGTGCACGGGCATTAAATTGTTAAAAATTAGTTTTAATTTTTCTGACATGAAGTTTTTTAAATATGTTAAATGCAATTCTTTGCATTTTTTACAATTTTTGTAAATCTATCACCAAAATGCAATAACTCAAATGAACAAAAACTTATTTAAGATATTACCTATTATTAATTCAAAATACAGATCTTCATCGTTAAGAATTTAATTTGCGTGAATGTTAAAAAGCTATTAACATTTTATGTAAGTATAATTTGCAAATGTTAAAAAACTTTGTATTTATTTAATAAATTTATGAAGAATACAAATCTAATTATTTTATCAAACCAACGACAGTTACGACAGAGAAAACAGTTCCATTGAAAACAGTCCGAGCAGGCACATGGAAGGATCGAGCAAGTCACCCAGGGAACGCAAATGGCCCCCCGTGTATGTTGACACTCCGTCACTCATCATTACAAAAGCCCAAGATTGCATGAGCTCTAGAGAAAATGTTCAACTCAAAAATTTTGTCGAGCCATCCTCCATGCCAAACAACAACAACGATGGTTGTACCAGTGGCAACGCTGCAAACAACTGCCCAAACACAAAAAATGTACAGGCACATCAAACTACAAAAAATGAGAACATTGTAACAAAAAAAATTAAAGCTCTTTACAACAACACCAAACCAAACAAGAGCGAAACAAATCTTCATCAAAATGACAAGAGCACAATTAACAACAACTCCAAAACAAACAAGTCCAACAATAACAACAACAGAATGGCATTGTCATTTACATCTTCTCAGACGTGCGACCCGATCGCTAACACGGCAACCACAACGACCACAACATCGCCATCAACAGCGACAGACATCGAAAACGGCAAATCAACACGAGAAACTGCCATATCTTATATATTGCCCAAATCACTTTCTCATAATCTTAATTTAAGTACTCAGAGCAAATCGTTAGACGAAGACGAAAGCAGAAGTAGTGGCCAGCGTTGCAGCATCAAAGACTCTAGCAGAAATACTCACAACAACAACAACGAAGGCTTTGTTGATGATAGCAGCAACAATGATGACATCTCCTCGCTAGCAGACAAAGATGTTAAGAAAATTTGTGACTTGATAGACAATTATCGACTCACCAATAACAACGATCTCAACGACACCACCGAATAGTATCAATAATATTATGATATCAACATGATACAATTAAACTGATTGCATGTTTTTTTATAACATCATCCTGAAGGCACTAGTTCTTTGCTTTCAGTGAACACAACTGAGACAAATGAAAATAAATAATGTACATATTAGAGAAAATGGGGACAGATTTTTGTGCACACTGATTCAAACGTTGCAGAAACGAATATTTAGTGCAAAAATATAGTTGAAAGCGTGTGAAAAACAATTTCCAGGTTGGAAGAGATTCTAAGCTACATTTGTATCAACAAACTCAATTATTAAATTCAGTCTAGTTTTTTCAAATTGCATTATCGTTTAGCGTTTGCTATTAATACTGTTTTAGAAAATTTATGTTGACACAGTTCTGAAGTGAATTTCAAATGTTGTGAGTGAAATCTGTTGGAAGAGAGTTACAATTTTATTAGATTCGTGTCGCCATTTAGCATCATCCGAGTTAACAACCTCAGAACATCTCCATCTATGATATATGTTCTATACCAGTTTGATTTTTATTTGCGATGTCTATATTCTTCTCAGTCCTACTAGAAAAAAATTCAACTTCATATTCATTTAGACCATATTTGAGATTAGAGCGCAATTTGTCAATTGAAGGATGTTATTAACTTTGCGGGTGCCACCCACCACAGTGTTTTGTAAAAACGTTTTCCCGTACTTTACGTAATAACAAAATATGATCAATTGCTCATTTGCTCTGCGTGCAGGTGCATGTATGTAGTTTGTTTGTTTGTTTGAATTATAAACAGATGATTTTATATTGACTTTCAGTGAATGTGTGCTACGTTTAGTCATTGCATTTGTTTATATTGTCACGAAATTGTTCACCACCACAACAAACCCACCGAGTAACCAGAAGACTGAGTTGAACATTATTACGCAGAGAATTCTCAAACACCAGACTGGTCAATGAATGTTTGTTACTACTGAGGAATCAGTTGAAACATCGTACTTCAATTCCATTAAAGCGGTTGGGAACATCAGTTATCGTGAATTATTTCAAACACCAACTTATCTAACTGAACATCACTTATTTTTTTCATATTACCACTTTCATCTTGGTTTCATAGGAGAGCCTTCATGAACATAATTATGCTTTATCTTCTAGTCAGCACAACTATGATTTCCAATGTATTATTGCCATCTCCATCAGAATTTCTTCTGAAATGATCTCCTCACTTTATAATTTTTGCATTTTTCATAATACATTTTGATATTTCAATTTCATTGGAATTAATAAAACATATTTTAATGAAAATTATGAGAAAAAATTAGCCAGAAACTTGTGGAATTTGATGCTAACGATTGATAACAAAATCTTAGAGCGTTGCATTTTTAGCAGTTCAATTTATATTTAAAACCTGTTTCTTATGGCACATCTATATAGGCGTATTTCACGCAGGTGTGTTTGTGTGTATCGTTCGTTTCCACTTTGCGGTTTTAATCAAATTAAAAATTTCAAACAAACTTCGTTACTTGGCCAATCTCAGCGTGTTATTCTATACAAGTTGGAAAAACTTAACTCATTTATCATATGATTTAAGTATAAAACTAATTAATAAATAAAATCACGACCAAAATAATAAATTGAAATAAAAATCAATAAGTTTAGGCAATAATTTTAAAATAATATTTTTATACACGCTTCAATAAGACTGGCTGAAATAAAACAGCCGGTTTTTTAGCAGTTTTTAAATTCATTTTAACTTGCAATTTTTGGATAACTAATTTATTTCTAGAATATATGAATTTTTGAGTTTCGCACAATTTTTACCTTTTATTGACAAATTTAAATAAAATTATAATAAAAAAAAAGAATTATTTGATCGTCATCAGCGTCAACGTCCTTTAAAAAAGATACCAGCAGGTAGTGGTGAATTGTTTGGATACCAGTAGGTAGTGGTGAATTGTTTGGATACCAGTTGGTAGTGGTGAATTGTTTGGATACCAGTAGGTAGTGGTGAATTGTTTGGATATCAGCAGGTAGTGGTGAATTTTTTGAATATCAGCAGGTAGTGGTGAATTGTTTGAATATCAGTAGGTAGTGGTGAATTGTTTCAGCGTTTTTAAAATAGCATCTTTGCCAGCGTTATAAATTTATTGAAATATAAGTGAATGGTAAGAATTGTAATAAAGTCAGGGACATAAATAATATTAATATTAATTATTAAAAATTAATTATTAATAATGACAACCGAAATAATATAGTTATTATAAATTACTAATAATACTAGCAATAAGAGCAACAATGATGAGATTAATAAAAAAAAGCAATAATAATAATAATAAAATAATAATAATAAAATAATAATAATATAAAAATTAGTGACAATAATAATAATCAATGATATTAATGAAAATAATAATAGTGTCAATAATATGAAAGAAACAAAGGGTGATATAGGTAACAAAACGGTGATGGAAATGAAAATAATATGGAGAGAAGAAATGAGACAATGAATGAAGCAGGCATCACAGGAACTGTGTGAGATCAAATGATGAATTTTAAATGGAACATCGTAAACATTCACAACAATGAAACCAACATGAAATTGTGTTTCGTTTCGTAACACATAACATAAAATGCACACATAATATTCATTTTCAACATTTCATTTTTTACAAATAATTCTTCAATCTTACGACGAAATAGCAACAACTTATTTAACAGAAAGTTTTGAGTACAAAAGTTAAAGCAAAAAAATTGTTCGTTTATGAAGTATTTTTCAAAGAATATTTACAAACATTTCAATTGTAGAAAAATTTAATTTATGATAAAGAAATTCAAAAATAAGGAGGTTTAATGTGGTTGACTTTGTTGCAAATTTAAAATAAATGCATCGAACAGTTAGTTTATGAAAAATGCGATAACATAAAAACTTTTTGATATGAATGATCAAAATTGGAAAAGCGGATTACATTTTCAAGCTGAATTGGTGTTTATAAATAAGACAAAACAAATTCATGAAATTAAAAAATTTTAAAACATAATTATTAAAAATCAGGTTTATTGAAAAATGTACTGATAATAATAATAATAATTGGCTGAAGAAAATTACGTACGATTCAAAATAATAATTTCTAATAATTTCAAAATTGCCATAGGCAGAGTTATTTTCTCGTTTTATAAAAAGAGTTTTTTCCATTGGTTGTAAGGTTTCCTTTGTAGTTTTTAGACAATCAGAATAATAACAATGATAGAAAATGATTTTTGAAGCTATACAGCGCTAATTAACATACAGTAAATAAAATCTTTAATAAGAATCTCCTCAATGAACAATTGAATGCTTCTGATAACGTGTGAGACAATCACAATCGCAGACTGATTCAATTTTTAACTTCAACTTTGCCAATGACCTTGCCCTTCCATAGAGGTAACAGGTCATCATCATCTGTCAGTTCCTCGTGCACCACTCCGGAATCAAATTCATCACTCTCCTTCTTGAAAAAGTATCTGCAGATGTGTGTATGTGTTTGTGTGTGTTTGTGTGTGTGTTTGTGTGTGTATGGTGTGTTTGTATGTTAGTTTGCACGCATAAGCCTATTCCAATACGTATGTTCGAGTTTATCAAAACTTATGTATGAGCGTTGGTTCTTAATGACTTTTTAGAAAATTGTCAATCTTTTACAGACAAAAAAAAAAGAATAACAACTTGAGGTTTCCTTTCTTGTTGAGATGTCGTTTGAACTGACCCAAGGTTGGCTGATAAGAAGGAAGAGTCGTTCTGTACGGAATTGGATCATCGCCAAAGTAGTAGCCCACCACCGTTACTTCACATTTTCTGCAAGGTTGGTCCCTGAAACTTTGAGATCTGCAGCCAAAGTTGTCAGGGTGGTTGCTGGAATCACTCGATACTACTGAAGATCTGCTGGTGTTTGAAATTAAGTAGCATTTCACATCTACAAGTTCTGTTCCAATTTGCTTCATTTTCTAATTTTTGGAAGCGAACAATGAAATAAATATACTTCCGTTGACAGACTCAGAGAGTCAAAGAACTCAATAATTTCTATCGCAATTATAAAAAATTATTTTATTGAATTATTATCAACATAATGTATAAATATGTAAAAATAAATGTTATTAAAATGATAATTAATAAATTAAATTTGATTTAACAAGATCTGTTACATATAATAATAAAATAACAACACGCTAATTTCGAGTGCAAACAATTTTCTGCTTTAAACAAATATGATCGTTTAAAAAGCTGTTCTTGGATTAAAAATATGATTTTTCAAACATAAATACACATATTTTCAAAAAACCGAGTATTAAAAATAGCCAAAAAATAATTTTACATTTAACTAGTACGTTTAAAAAAATATCAACGATTTATTCTGTTAATTTGACCGCTTTTTCAACGCCAAAATTTGAATGTAATGTAAATGAACGTAGAACATATTTTAAATAATAAAAAAACACACCTGATCGCTCAATGTTTGAAAGATATTTGTTGTTTACATCAATACAATCGCTGGCTGAATGGTGGTATGAAGAACTTGATAAACTGAAGCAATATATGCGAGAGGAGCATTAAAGAGTTCAAACTACCCTTCACTGACAACCGGCTATAAAATTGAAACACAGAGTGGAACAGAAGACAGAAGCAACGTTGGAAAAAAAAGTACGGAAAGCATGTAAATAAATTAAAAAGCACAGTGGCAGATAGAAAGCAAAGAACCATGTATCAGACACTCTTTGTTCCAGGATCACTTCAAAGAAAAAATTCCGCGCCGTCGGCATTATCAAACGTGCACGCTGCTTTAATACGCATTTATTTGGCACATGCAGGCATACATTCTAATTTTATACTCCATGTTGCAGTACTACTAACAGGCATTCAAGTATCTGTGCTTTTCTTCTCTATTTACTTATCCCTTTTCATCTTCCTTATGTTTTCTCGAATGTAATTTAAAATGAAACTCTATTTTAGCGATTCACATTGAAGATATAATAGATGTGTGCAAGTCCATCCAGCAAATCTGTGACATACACACAATAAAAAGTGAATAAGCAATGCTAGCACGTTAGTAATTGCTGTCCAACCATTATCAACACATGTTCATGGCTTTAACTTTTTTTAATATTATGTGTGAATAATAATAATAATAATAATAATAAGATGAATAACTAGATTCTAATATTAACAATAATAATATTAATAACTATAATAATAATTATCATAAATTATTATCTTCACCATATTGTTAGTACATTATTGTTCTACGAATAGATTTATACCACGTCATAATGAAAATGAGGTGATGTGTTGATAAGGTTGATCATGATGACTGTGGTGATGATGGTAGTGGTGATGATGATGGCGCTAATAATGGTAATGTGTAACATAACAAATGTAAACTTTTTTTCCTTTGAAGTCAGCCAGTTACGCCTGCATACATGTAGAGTTGTGATCAAAGAAGCAAGTACAATAGAAGCATATATACTTAGATAATTAAAACACATCAAAGGGAATCGTTTATTCCTAAAATCAATGGTTACTTCGACTCCATACACATACATAAAAACGTATTCTGTTCTTTGCTGTCATACACATATACACAAATTTTAAACACATATATACATACTATACATATGTGTGTACATAAATAAATACACGTATGTAGATGCACAATATATAAATGTATATCTATTTATTCATACGTACAGCATAAATAGATGTATAATTCTAATTGTATATATTAATATTATGTGTTTGTGTTGAGTGTGTATGTGCATGTGTGTGTGTGTGTGAGTGAGTGAGTGTGAGAGGGAGAGAGAGAGAGAGAATATGTGGTGTGTGTGGTGTGTGAGTGTGTGGTGTGTGTGTGTGTGGTGATGCGATACTAAACGCTCAACTCAGCCAAGTGTTAAATAATTGTCATTTTTGAAATATATATTCGGTACATTGTCTAATGAAACTTGAATGAATTTTTTTCCTTTGATGAATAAAAAGTTGTTCAAATGAAAAAAAAACTTCCTAATGTTGATAATAACTAACAACATGCACCTTTGCGAGCAAATGCGTATAGAAGTTCGCCCATAGATGCATACTTTTATTTACGTTCATCGATACAATTGTGTTTTTCATATGCTTCAGTATTTCTCCATTATCTCTTTATGACTGTAGAATGTATGTTGTGTGATGTGTGAGTCTTTGCGTATGTATGTATGCTTGTTTGTTTGTAGGTATGTATGTATAAATATTACATATGCATGCATATGCATATGAGTGTACTAATTTATAAGTGTCTGTACAGACACTGTGAATGTGAAATGTACGTGCAATGTGTACCATTTGATCCTGAACAAACATTTTTTACAAGCAAAAAAGAAAATGAATCTCAGTTTGAACAAATTATTCAATATTACATTATTTATATTATTATTAAGCGAACGATTGTGATTGGTTGATTGATTTTGCGTTAATCTTGCGCAAACAAATAATCCAGTGTTAAATGAAGTTGTCCATTTTCACTATTTCTTTACAAGGGTAAGATTATGTTGACTGCCTCGAAAATCGACTATAAAAAGTAAATAATGTTGACGGAAATTGACCAAAACTAGTGGATAAACACTTACTTTACCTATGTTTTATACATTTTAATAGGTCTAGAATGAAAGATTGTCAGCGGCCCTAGAGATAATAGAAATTGTTAAAATATTAAAGCGACTTCACAAAAATTGAAAAAAAAACGGTATTTAGATTTGTGCAAAAATAAAAGTAGAAATCTAACTGCTACAGGAAACTGTGAGGGCTCAATTGAAGAAAGATGGTAAGAAACAGTTTAAGAAGCCAGGTCGGAAAGCCAAAAATTATATGAATAACGGTCAAAGTAAGAAAATCAAGTTCAAACATATCCAGAAAATGCCGAATGACAGGCTAATTAGAAATCTACTAATGAAAAAGAGAAACAGAAAAGTTGGAAGACCCGTCAAAAAATGGATGGATGACATTACATAATGGACTAGAATGGAAACGTCGAAATAAAAAATTTTTGATTTTGGAAGCTGACAATGGTTTTTTAATGAGTCGTTCATTAATTGGTTGAGATCTGTGTGGGCAAGAGAGAGAGAAAGAGGGGGGAGAAAGAGAGGAGGGAGAGAAAGGTAATATTTAGAGTAGACAGTAGACAAATCCTTCATTAATATATCTTTATAGACTCACACTATCAGGTTTTTTATATCTTCGATTAACAGACCGCTTAATTTTCTGCTTCTACACATTCATTTATTCAACACTAATTAATCATGTTCTCAATTAAATAAACAAATTACAAAAATAAAATTAGTTGTTTTATTAACAAATTATTTATTAAATGTTATTTTTTGGTCATTCTGTTTTAATATTATTTTTTGTTTTGTTCCCCCGAATTTAGCCCGAGGACAAAACACAGTCTACAAAATTTTATCATTTTCACTTAGATCATTTTTTATTTGTAATATTTTTCATTATAAAACTTACAAATATTTTCATATTTTTAGCATCATAATTATTTCAAAAATTTATTTAATAATGGTGTACTGTTATATATTAAATATAACCATCAGCTTAATCATAATCATTGTTTAAAGGCAGTTAGTTACCGGTTAATCCTGATTTATTAATAAATTTCTTAATAATATAGCATCGTTGCACGCGCACAAAAGCAATGCTCACCCACGTGTATTGATAGTTTGACACAAGTTAAGATGAGTCGACCAACCTATCAGTTATTCAAGCAATTAAGAGCAGACCAAGAACAAACCCCAAAAAAACAACAGAAACATTCGCGTGTCTACATTAACCTCAAATATTTGAGAAAAAATTATATTCAAGTTTTGTAGAAGTTGCGTTTCAATTATATTTCAATGAAATTACAATTTAAAACACAAAGTATAAAAAATATTCACCTGCCATTTATATATAGGTTGTGATTTTTGCAGCAACAATATGGTGTAGCGGTGTGCTGATCTGCAGACGATGGAAAAGATGCAGACGATGACGAAGACGACGATGTGGCCACTGAATGAGATGATGGAGACGATAATGACGTGTTGCATTCCTTGCTCTTAACAATTTGCGAAAAAGCAAAATAGTTGTTGTTGACCGTGTTGTCGGAATTAGAAATACTAATTGAATTATTTTTGGAAAAACCTAAACAAGAATTATTTGAGGTTTTATCACCTGCCAAGAACATTGACATATTTTCCGTTGAGTTTTTGCTGTTGCTCACTAGAGGAGATGTTGAAGAACGGTTAAGAGAGTTGCAAAATTGTGTCGAGTTGAATGTCGACAAAGGTTCTGTTGATGAATTGTTCACGTCCATTCCTTCACACAAATCTAAACAATCGCTGACGTTCTCGATAGAGTTGCACCAGAAGCATTTTATTAACTGCGAAGAAGATGAGAGAGCAGGTTTTGTGATCTGAGATGAAGAAGTTGGTGAGGGTAATGTTGAGGCTGAAAATCCGCTGTTGCCATCATTGAAATTTCCAACACCGTTGTTGTTGTTGTTGTTGTCGTCGTCGTTGTCGAAACTGATGTTTTCTTGGTCTTCGAGGAAATTGTTCATGGAAGGTTTTATCTGTTTAAATTTATTTTAATCATCCAATCTACAAACATAAGCTATCACTACAAAATTAAACAAATGATGACTTGCAACAATTATTATTTCAGACATTAATTTTCAGAAAGAAACTTGAAATAAAATTCTGAACAGGACACTAAGACAAATAACAGACATTAAAAAACAAATAATTTATTATCACAAAGTTAAAAAAATATTAAATTAATTTGTTTAACAAACCATTGAGATTGAATTGAAAGTGTTCAATTGTGGATTGAAAATAAGATCCTTTCCGTTGATATGTTTCGGATTCCAAGCTGGAGATGTTGGTTGCGGCACGATTTGTCTATCACGGTTGGTGTTGCTAACCCAGCTATTAATGTTAACTAGATTTGAAAATTTTTGCTTTTGATGTATCGTCGCGTCATTGCAGTTGTAAAGTTTGCCATCTAGCGAGAAGTAATTAGTAGTTTTGTTTGTTTCAGTGAGATGGAGCGGCTCGGTTTTAATTTGTAGCGGCTGTTGTTGGTAGTGAAGTGAGACTAAAGACATTGGCGAAGTAGTGTTGTGTGCATGTGACGACTGATGCTGATATTTCTGGTTCTGAGATAATCTGTTGAGAAAATTATTTTGTAGCATTTGTTGGAACTGTTGCGGTTGTTGTAATGAAGGTAGCTGTTGATCTGTTAATGATGGGGGTGGCGATGGCGATGATGATATCCCGCTGTCTTCCCAAATTCTTGATAAGTGTTCCTCCAAGATGCTGTCAGCATTGATATGAACGTCCGATTTGTCGCTGTTGATGGAAGCCATCAATGTTACGAGGTATGTTGAGCGGGGAGAGGTTGATTTGCGATTTTGGGATGTGTATGATGAGGACGAAGATGACGACGATGATGACAGTGAAGATAAATGTGATGTAAGTGTTGACGGGGGAGTCACGGAATTGGACTGTAAAATTGCGTGCGGTGTCTGTGTTTGTGTTGGATATGATGGCGATATTTTAAACGTTTTGCAGGAATGCGCATAAATCATTTTTTTCTTATCGTCCTTTGAATAAAAATTAATTTATGCAATATTTGAAATTTTTTAGAAACTATTTGATTATGTAATTTAAAAAAAAATTATTAGTCAAAAAAAATAATTTTTTAATCTAAACTTTTCATAAAACAAAAAAGATCTATACCTCACTAAATCCAATTAATGAAGAAACTCGATCTGATTTGAAGTTAACGGGGCTTAATTCTTGAGCCATCACTCAACAAGTTCGTCAAGCATCTGTTTGAAACAGAAATGTTAACTTGCTAGTTATTCTAATCATAACAGACTACAAAGTTAAATCCATTGAAAATGTAGAATAATTTGAAGTTAGGTTAACTCCACCACAATCACAAATTTCCTTCGGATGATAATAATACTGATTAAGATGCTGGTGGTGTTGGTAACATCAAAAACTGGAAGTAACAAAACCCAGTGAACCTAACTAGAAGCAGGGAACAAATAAAAAGCGAACAAATATGAAGGCGAAGAAGACGAGCCAGATCATAAAAACAAAGGAATAATGATCAAAGCGGTCAAATTAACAGAAGCCATATAATGTACATAATAAATGTATACACATATGTGGGTTATACATATTCATAAGCTTCGGTTCTTTGTGCAAACGTGTACACCGACCAAGTGCATGTGACAACACCATTCCAACATTTGATTCAATATTTCAGCACTCTATGTTTATTGTGTTTTTTGCAATCAACTTTTTTTTATTTTCAAATTTTATTACGGCATTTAATTGAAAAATATTAGAAACGTATGTTAGCAACTGAGTGATTTGGATCTCTTCAACACGTAGCTGATGTTATTATTATCGATGTTACCTTATCGCTGATGCTATTATTGTTATCTTGTTGTTGTCGTCATTATTATTATTGCTGTTATTCAAAAACACTGGTTTTTATGATTTTACCTATCTGTGTTATAGTTTGCATTGTTCAATCCGACTGATGTTTTATGTTCTTATTTTTATTGCTTTTAATCAAGTTTCTAATTGAAAAAATCTTCCAATCAATGCTAAGTCTTTTGATCACGTGTTTTATCTCCAGATGTTTGAAAACTGCGGCTTTCTTAAATTTTTTTTCTATAGACTAACAAAAATATGAAACACGAGAAATTAATTACAATTTTAAAATTTCAAAGTAATTAATACTGCTCTTAAATGTTATAAATTCAAAAACAATATAAAAACCGTCATCAGTATTACGTATGTTTAATCGTGAATATTAAACGTGTGACAAAAACCTACCGCGTCGAAATCAAACATTCTTTCAAATGTTAATACTTCAAAAACATTTTTCTTACAGAAAGTTTGTTATTGTAGAAAGATGAAACTCCTCTAAAAATGCAATCATCAATTGAAGTGAAAGTTACAAAGGAACAAAACACTTCAAAAGCCAGCAGATGAATACAAAAATCTTTGTATAAATAAACGTTTAGAAATTCCTTTTTTTTGAAAAATTCAGATGAAATAAGAATTCATCTTGAAGGTCAACCATCATTACTTATTTTTTATTTTTAAATACAGAAAGCTCATTTGGAACTGTGTGTTAAAATATCACTAATTTTCAAAATTTAAAGAAAGAGTCAAAAATTAAAAATAAAATTTTTTTATAGTTCATCCTTATCAGAACAATCAAATTTTTCACTTTAGTTTTTTTCAAAATTTCATTTAATTATCAAAAGGCAATTGAATTGAATTTGTGCAAAATGATGAGACTGATCATTCGCGTCGCCAGAACGCGTGGCAAAATTTAATGAAGTTTTTATAACGAAATGCCAGAAATAAAATTATTTCACACACACTACATTTGACTTTTAATTATTACAGTTTACCGACAAATTAACAATTTCAAATCAAAGCCAACTAACTAAAAGAGGATTGTCTCATTATTTATCCACTATGAATGTTAACTTATCATATTTTTCTTGAAAACAATGACAAATTGTGAACCTTGTCATTCAATGACGTTTATTGAAAATTAACTTTTTTATAAGTTGGGTAGGTTCACAATTTAAAAATGAGTTCAATGCCCACATGATTAGAAAACTGGTAGAATAGGACGAACAATAATATCAGAAATTTTAGACTACTCACTAGGACAAAAACTCTTTTTTTAAATACGAACGTAAAAAAAAACATAAAATCAACGTTCAATCGATCGAAACATTTCAGGCATTTCAACATTTAACATAGTAAAATTTTTAAATATTCGAAATATAGAAGCTCGCAAAAGAAAGTGATTAATTTTTTAACATAAAATTTATAAACATAAAAGTAGAATAATATATTAAATTTTGTAGTACAAAGGTTTAATCATAAATATAGGAGAACGTGTAAGTAGCTCTTGCCTTTGACAAGGCTGCATCATAAAGAATATTGATAAGAAAAATTATTTCTCCGTTTATTTACCACACACACGAAACAACAGAAACGTGCATTAATTGTTATGCAACACCTAGAAGCGCCACAAACAAACAAAACAAAAGAGATGAAAGACCTCAATTATGCAGTGCAAATTTAAATGATACGAAAATGCTCATACCTTGAACGATAGTCATATAATCTACCTCCGTTGGCCAATTCAATGGCAGAAGTTATTTATGAAAAATAATTTCTTTAATCAACACCCCACGTGATATATAGGCCATACAAACATTTATTGGGGTTTAATATGTTTGCACACCGTACAGTAACTGAAATTATCGAAATTTGTCGGGTTTCAACATAGATACAGATCTGAAAACAATTCTGTTAATAAATAGATTTGCGAAATTTATTGCAAAATCTGTTAATAAATGGAATTGCGAAATTGCAGAATGTCGGATTTGAACTCGGTTTGAATCAGAGGTTTTTGCCAGAGTCGGAACTTTTTGAGAAACCCGAGTCGGATATTTTTCATCCGATTCTGACTGCGGAAAGTGTTAACAATTCGAAAATTGTTTTTTATTTTAAATTCTAAAAATATTTTTTGAAATCGTGTTTTTAAGGAGATAAATAAATGCAGCAATATGCAATCATCTTCAATACAGAAAATAAATGCCAATAATATCAATAAAATCACATAGTTTTCTATCGGTATGTTTTAAAACATAAATATGAACTAATTTTACTCAGAAAGACATCTACATTCACTGATTTCAAGTGTTTTTCAAAGCATTTCTCATTAAGTAGTAAAATTTCTGTAAAATTATGATGCAAAAGTTGAAAAACTTTTCTTAAACTCGGAACCCGGAGTCAGAAATTGGAGTCGGAAATTTTTACCTAGACCTGGCGACGTAATTTTTTGAAGGGCAGATATTTTTCATTTGACTTCGACACCCATGTAAACAGCATAATTG